TTCTGAACTGCGAACATTTTCCCGGTTTCGTATATAAAAAAATCCCATATAGATAGAGAGATCGCTAAAAGCTAGGCTAAAAGATTTCCAAAAAGCTTCAACTTTCTGAAAACGAGGTGACCCAAACAAGGCCGGGTATCCCAATAAGGGCCAGTTCAAGACAACATCGACGGTATTTAGACCACCGGGGGCGCTAGGTGAGGCACTGAGCGTATGTCCCATCTACGGAAACGGGATTTCCTAAATGCGGTACGAAGTTCGCCGAGTGCATTGTTTAGGGTGGGAAATAAACTGTATGTTGACGAATATTTCGAGATTGGAGTATCCAAAAAGAGTATTCACAACGGACAACTGGAGGCATTACCTCATTTAAAATTTTTAGACTTCAGTTTAGGATCTACTTTCCTACTGGCGGCGCAAGATGTGCATTTAGAATAGATTTACCGCCAAAATAACAGAAATATTAATATCAAAACGATCGAAGGACCACAAATGTAGCACTAGGGTTGTAGGGTCTAATGTACATCCAAGCAAAACGACACAAGGTAATATCACAGACCCGGTACGTTACCGCCGGTTGGAAGGCTGATAATACTATAAGCGCTTACATGCTTATATTACAGATATCTTCCCTAAACTACGTCAATTACGTTAGTATGCAGGAAATGCTGATGCGTCGACTCTGCCTAGCTTGTTTGATTGTCTTGCGTTTTGCTGCCTAGTAGTCTGCATATTTCCGTCGGGTCTTGATGTTTTGGCTTCAAGCTCGATTCCCGTTTCCTTTGGTGGTGGCTTGTTTGACCATTTTTTTCAGAAATCTCTGCGTAGCCCGGTCCTGTAGTTGCGAAAGGGTGTGTCATATTTACCCGTACTGATGGGAGATTTCCCATTAACGGTTTCGCCGTGCTCTGGTTGAGTCGCAAACAGCGTATATACAGTTTCTCACTTCCCGGCGGACCAGACTTTTTGCTAGCAGTATCCCGTATGAAGGGATCCCATGAAGGGATCTGGCATGTACATGCTTTACGATTAGTGCGGTCAAATACCTTCTTGGAGGAATTGTTAGGTGGTGTTTGCCGACATGAAGGTTGCATTCGTTAATCTGTCCCCCACTCTTAGTAGTTCCGTTGCATCCAGGAAGGGACTGAGTGTCCTGAGATTAAGGGTTTCTTTGGTTCCCGTTAACAGCTGATCCACAGAGTTCCAACCGTGTTCAACTTCATCTGGGCCACCTTAGATTTTGCCATTAACCTGGAGTTTTGTATCGGTCCATTTCCACACAAATCTTCTTGTATTTTTGGACCAGTTAGCATAGTAAAAATAAAAATATCGTTCTGGCTTTTTCCTGAACCGGAAGTGGCTGAGGCTTCAAACACTTCTGAACTGACGCGAATTAATTTGAAGTTGTTTGCATTTATATATCACTTTCACGAAACACTACTATATTGCTGTGTAAACAATGTCAGGTGGGACGTTGTATTTGGTTCTGAAAAATTTGGAATTAATTTACGTGCCTAATTGTTAATTAATGCCCCCAAATTTTTTTCCTAGTCAACGTTGTGGGTTTTAATTACGTTTTAACGCAAAACAATTTTGCGCATCGAGCGTGCAATCAGTTTCGGTATGATTTATTAAGCTTTTCGTTTATTTCAGTGAGATAAAGGTAATTGTTTGGAGATAACGTGGCTATTTTAATCTTTCAGAAAAATTGTATGTGTATAAGTAGAAATGTTGAAATACACAGAAAAATTCTAGTGCGGTAATTAGTGCGGACTTGCCGATTTGAGTTTCATTGTATTGGTTATCGTCGGTTCTACGCAGTTTTTATTGGTTAAAGAAGTTAATAATAAAAATAAAATAAAGGTAAAAAAAATAAAATATCGTTGTGGCTCTTTCCTGAACCGGAAGTGGCTGAGGCCTCAAACACCACTCGTAATGTTGTGGTAGAGCTTTCCTCTTTTAACAACGCATGGTGGGGAATGTGATATTTTGCAGGTATTTCCCCTGCATCTCTTTATACTCTCGCAGGAAAATCTTGTACCTGGATGCCATCTGTAGAAGGCGGGCGGCCAATTCCTCAACTTCTCCTCTCAGCGACAGACTTACAGTAGAAATGTAGTCTATATTCCGTGTGGATGTGTCTTGATACCTTTCTTCGTGTTGGTCATCTTTCTGCGACAGGGCCGCGTCTTGGGTTTGTACATCACTTCGAATGTACCACTTGACTGGGACCAGAACACTTGTAGTAGCGCAGTACCAATTCGTTGAAAGGCTCGAAGGACCAAATGTAGCGTCCGGCTCAAATCACTAAATGTAACATTAGGATTGTAAGGCCTAATGTACAGGGTGACCCAATAAGACTGTTCCTCGGCCATATCTCGGGAACCGTTTGTCGTATGACTTAGGGGTAAAAAAATTATTGGGTAAATCGCTGGATAATATTTTCAAGTTCTAAAAATGACCACCAGAGGGCGTAACTGCCATCTTAAATTTTAAAATTGCATTTTATTTAAATTTCTCATAATAAACTAAACATTCTTTTTTCACATTTTTAAAGAGAACCAGTTTGTCTATCATTTTCTTAAAAACATAAAAAGAGCATTCCTTGGGCAACAAGAATCAACCAAAATATAGTTAATTTAGTTAAATCCTCCTCCGCCAGGGGGATAGTTTTGACACTATGATCCAAAATCCTAAAAAAATCAAAAAAATCAAATTTGAATGATATGAATTTCTCTTTATGAAAAAGTAGCCAAATAACACCCAAAGAGGCCAGTTAAAACCGTTTTTCAAAATCTCATTCCTAAAATTGCTTAAATTGTATCTGATGGTTCGTTGTCGATTCAGATAACGCAAATAGAAGATGGGGGCAGCGATGGTCGCATTTTGAAAATACTCAAAATATATCGCCAGCATATTAAATGCTTCTTGGTTAGAAATCGGCATTTTAGAAAAAATTACAAATTCAAAAAACTGCACTTTCTGAATGTAAACACAGCAGAATAATTTACAAATTACGGCTGTTATTAGGCAATTTATAATGCATCGTGTTTCATTTGTTTAATTTTCCAAAGCCTACCTAAAAGTGTAGGGTGCTTTTCGTTCGCGCCATCCACAAATATCGGAAATACGTAAAAAGTAAATTTAAGATACAATGTAAGCATTTTCATTAATTAATTAATTAATCTCATTTTCCCAATATTTGAGGTTAGGAACCAGATTTTGAAAAACGGTTTTCACTGACCTCTTTGGATGTTATTTGGCTACTTTTTCATAAAGAAAAAGTTATATCATTCCATTTGATTTTTTTGATTTTTTTAGGATTTTGGGTCATAGTGTCAAAACTAGCCCCCTGGCGGAGAAGGATTCAACTAAATTAACTATATTTTGGTTTATTCTCATTGCTCTAAATCGGTCAAACAGTTAAGAAGTTAAAGCAGGTTATTGCAAAAACAATTGAACGCCTCAGACCATCTTTGTTTTTGAAATAATTGAGTTTTTGTTTTTACGAAAATGATAGATAAACTGGTTCTCTTTAAAAATGTGAAAAAATTTTTTTTGTTTATTATGCGAAATTTATAGAAAATGCAATTTTAAAATTTAAGATGGCAGTTACGCCCTCTGTTAGTCTTTTTAGAACTTGAAAATATTTTCCAGCGATTCTTCATGACCGATTTACCCAATAATTTTTTTTACCCCTAAGTCATATGACGAACGGTTCTCGAAATATGGCCGAGGAACAGTCTTATTAGGTCACCCGGTACCCCCAAGCAAAACTACTCAAGGTAATTTCTGTCGGAGATTATCGGATATTTCAAACCCGGTAGATTGTTAACTGATACTGTTTACATGCTATTTATATCACAGACATTACTTCCTTAACCTACGTCAACGATGTTAGATTGCAGGGTATGCCGATACGTTGACCTTTCCTAGCTTGTTTGATTGTATTATATATTTGCTTCCGAGTAGTCTACATGTTTCCGTTTTCATTTCCCTGTTATTCTTGAGAATAAGATTCACTTAATTTTGGTGGCCGCTTTAAATTTGTTCTAAATGAACACTTGGGCCGCCAGCAGGAAAGTGGGTGTGAGAGAGGAAAATTATGAAGAGTTCCTTCCAGTACCAACCTTGAATTGATAAAACTTGAGTCACTCTCACAACATTATCTTTATACGCGCTGGCATATTATCGATGATGCAAGTTAACAACAGGAAGTATTCCAGGTGGTAGAAAAAAAAAAAGATGTTATTACTTGTAAGACCGTCGACCAACCTCAGCGATCCTGGTGGAACACTTTCCCATCGTCTGCCGAAAGGGATTTGTGTAGTTTATTTGTTCGCAGTTGATTATTTCAATGTCTGAGTATACTTAAAGTGTGTTAGACCCATAAGTCCCATCAATGTGACTAAAATTCATTAGATATTCATTTAAGAGGAGATTGAGAGAAGCTTTTCCATGGGAACCTTCCTAATTTATATAAGCGGTAGTTTATTTATTAACATAACATTATTAGTAAGTATACAAAAACACAATTTTGGCCGTAGTAGTAACCTCTGGAAGACTTCACTATATGTATTGAATAAATGATATTTCTCTATTTAATCGAAGGAACAATAATTTTCTGTACGGCTTGGTTTTCATTTAGAATTTTTGCGCATAGTTTGTAGTTCACAATTGCACTCGCGCTGTTAATTAATGGCAATTGTTTATGAATGCACTTAATTCTTACATAAAATAGCTTAACGAAGCAATTACGACGTTCCCTTATAACCTACTTCTAATTATATCATTATTGTAAAAGTAGTCTACGAAGTAAGGTTAACCAATTTTTGAAATTATTGAATTAAGACTATAATTATCCAATAATGCGTATTTAAAAAAAATTGACCGAACTAAGTGTTTCGATGATTGAATAACATCCATGTTCCAAAAGCCGTCGGCGACGTTATACGTCGTATCGCATTTTATTAATTGCAATGGACAAATTAAATTCTTACCTCGGGTTTCATGTTAAGAGCCGGTGGCTGATGGGCTGGTGCGATCGCGGGACCCAACATATCGCCGCTTTCCTCTTCTGTTCCGCCTTCTGCCATGTCAGCCTCGCATCCTGACTCGTCTGAAAAAATTAATATTAAATAAATCACCTCGGGTATAACAATTACGAAATCTTAAACAAAAATAACTAGGCGATGCACGTTTAGCGTGGGTGTCGATCACTGGCAATTCACCAGGTGATACGTAGTTACAGCCAAATGATTATTTAAATTGATCCGTTTTTTTTAAGATGGAAACACATATTAGCAATGAAAACAATTGTCAAAATAGGTCTCATTAAAAATTACAAGCTTGAGTACGTTATGTTGGGGAAGCCACGAGAATACTTACGCACCGTCCTACGTGAGCGGTAGAAGCGAGCGATGCGAGCGACGGGAAAGACGAATAATTTGAATTAACGTGTCTGAACTGACGCGAATTCATTTGAAGTCGTTTGCATTTTTATATATCACTTCCAAGAAACACTACTATATTGCTGTGTAAACAATGTCAGGTGGGACGTTGTATTTGGTTCTGAAAAATTTTGAATGAATTTAGGTGCCTAATTGTTAATTAGTGCCATCAATGTTTTTTCCTAATCAACGTCGTGGGTCTAATTACGTTTTAACACAAAACTATTTTGCGTATCGAGCGTGCAGTCAGTTTCGGTATGATTTATTAAGCTTTTGGTTTATTTCAGTGAGATAAAGGTAATTGTTTGGCTATTTTAATCTTTCAGAAAAATTGTACGTGTATGTTGAAATACACAGAAAAATTCTAGTCCGGTAATTAGTGCGGACGTGCCGATTTGAGTTTCATTGTATTGGTTATCATCGTTTCTACGCAGTTTTTATTGGTTAAAAAAGTTTTACGAAATTTATGTGGGATTTCCGTTTAAATACGGGAGACGCAAATTAAAGATGGCTTTTCGTTCGAGCCCAGGGTGTTCGTTGAAAGAAGTATTTTTTGTTTCGCACCGAGGCCGAACTGCTGTCCGTCAGAAGCATATTTTCTTCGTATAAAAGTTTGAGTCCAAGTTGCAGCTCGTTTATAGAAGTTTTAAATCCAGTTTCAAGTGCCGTTATTTAGAAAAGGGAATCAAGTTGCTCAGTTCGTGGCCGACTACGTTTTAAGTTGTGAAGAAGTAAAAAAAACGTTATCGAAGTTGGATTATTTATCTGTGCTCGAGGAAGGCGTTCAAGCACGCGTTTGGAGTCAATGGCTTGGGAGCGCCAGACGGCAATTGGGTCCGCACGTCTAAAAGACCCCGGATGCTACTTGGCGAAGCGTTCACGGGTGTCGTTGGATTCGTCTCGTCAAGGACTATCGAATAGCACCGATACCACACGTCTATGAGACCTTGAAAATCCTAGACATGACTTATGATGCAGTGAACGCCTCTAAGAACGATCGTAATGAAACTTGATACCTACAATGGGAGCGTGTACATCCTATTTACGATATTATTGCATAAAAAGCTTGGGTTCCTCTGGGCCCGGCTCGTTCGCGTCTGATCGAGTGTATCCGCTCGCACAGATCGATAGCAAAGCAGTCAGTGGTAGGGAGAAACAACTTTGAATTCCCTGAATTAATTTGAATTTACGTGAATTAATTAGAATTAACGTGAATTAACTTGAATTAGCGTGAATTAATTTGAATTAACGTGAATTAATTAGAATGAACTAGAATTAGTTTGAATTAAAGTGAATTAATTTGAATTAGCGGGAACTAATCTGAATTAACGCGAATTAATTAGAATTATTTTGAATTAAAATTAATTTGAATTCCGAATCCACCGTTATTTTTTTCATTATTTGTTGGAGGTGATCCAGGACTCCAAGGTTGAACGACGCCAAAGGTAGCATTAGTATTGTATAAATAAGGTAAATTGTTTGATTCTATGGTAGTTAACATATCCCGATTCCTTTAACGATATTGAAGGTTCAGAATTTTTTCGTGTACATTAAGTAAAGAAAAACTATTAAAGGTAGGTACACTTTTAACCAGTTTTTTTATGTTTAACCCAGTTAGAAGGTAATAGAACTGTTTTCTCCATTTGAATCCAATATTAAGCACTGAAAATCTTCTAACTGAGTTGAAATTATGCTGGTTAAGATTGCGATGATTCAAGTTTAAAAGAAGTAGGTCCATTTGACTAACGAAATTGTGCAAGCGGGCAGAGCAGTCAGAAAAAATAAAATAATCAGAGTGTTTGAACCCTTGAAATGTAACCTCTGTTACAAGAGACACCCTTATGGTTAATCACAAATGATTCGAAGAACCGTTTCAGAGTCTCAGTGGTGTCTTCCAAGAGGTCATCTGAAGGAGGATACCCACTGGTGTTAACTGTTTAGAACGCTCTAAGTCTACCGGACTACTCTTCTTCATACCAACTGTCACAAATCATTTTGTGGCCAGTCTTTATAAAACTTTTTACTTGTTTATCTTGCTCTGGCGGAGATAAATAATTTCTGAACCGTTTTTAAACATATTCCCGAAATGTAGTTAATCTGATACCACTAAAAACATATTTTGAATATGTCAGCATATGGTTACGCAATTAGCAATTATGCATGTGGATTCCAAAAAAAAACGGTAAATTCCCGTATCTTTATATTTAAATTCCACATGGGATTTATTCAGTTTGCGAGAATACTAAAATATGGGGTTGTCCCAAGATAATTTAAATAAATAATAGGTTGTAAAGTTACTGCAAATATAGTTAGTACCATTTACATGTTTTATTATTATAGTGTATTCTTTTCCTTCCAACCTTGATCAAATTTCCTATGAATTTCAAGTAATGTGTTTTCTTGTGATCGTGCTCGTATCAGTCGCCATAATATGGTATAGTTTTGTACAGGATGAGTTAACGATTGCGCGGAGTAACTTAATTAATGTCTTAAAGATAACATTTTTCGATAGAGACGGCTTTTGTATTATGATATGGTTGATTACCTAATCTAAGTTATTCCCTAAGGTTTATTTTATTTTATTTTTCTTTGTCCTTGCTTAGGGATTAAAAATTGTACTTGTGTATTTGTATTTTTCGTAGAGGATCTGTACATTTTATTTGAGTTATTGGATTATTGTTTTTTATAATTTTAAAATGATTATTTTTGTTATAGTTTTTGGCATTTTGGGTTAATATATATATAAACTACCATTTATCAGCTCTACTTGTACCTAATCTTAATTTAATACTTAGTTTAAAATGCAGTTATTTTTATTTTTATTTTTTGTAGTACTTTGAAACTGTACACCGAAATATGTTTGTGCTTTTGGCAATTATTCTCCACATTTTTAAAATATTTGAAATTCTACAGGGTGCGCTTACAAAATAGGGCATCAAAATGGTATTGTTCAAATAGACATTTTTATTATATTATTTAACTTATTTAAGATTAGAATATAAAAACCTAGAAAACCAAGATATTTCGAAAACTATCAGAGATAGATATAGGACATTATTATCAAAATTTTTGGAGGAGCTAAAAGATGACAAAAAATATACAAAGACTCTAGACCCGAAAATTAAATTGTTTCGACCAGAATTTTGCGTGATAATATGATGGAGCGAGGGATGGATTGGGAACCATAAACCGGTCCGTGAAATATACCTACCTATCGGCCCACTTAGCGAGTGGGGGTCCCTCTCTTAATGCGCCCTAACTTTAAAACATTAATGCTTTTTCTAACACTGATTGTTGATAATTATTTCCCAACAACATAAATGGTTCTCAATTATTGTTATACACAATCTGTTCCTTAATCAATTTTTATACATTATAGGCATTAGCGAGTGCCGAATATTGGAACGTAAATTTAAGTACGTAATTTATTTATTCACAATTAATTATTTAATGAATTAATTAATTTGTAAGTCTTAAAATTGATTAATTTGTAACAGTAATTATAAGCGCGACCTATTCATTACTTCGGTGTTGAAATTGGAACTGACCGAAACGCAATTCGACTTGGTTATATAGCAAACGCCACTGTCTCGAAGGCTCTCGAGTATTCTAGAATGTTCTCGATCAAACACGTCGTATTTCAATTATCAAGTATCTTCCAATTTACTCATTTAAATATCCGTATTAGTTATTCCATTTTTAGCGCATCTTTGCAAATTTATGTGTCAAAGGTAGCTTTTAATCCACTTGAGCCGGCTGGCTAGCTGGCTGGCAGCAAATGCAGGTCTGTAGAAAAACGCTTGGAGGAAGACACAAATGTATCTACCGGCGTCGTGTAATTAACAACTTTAGGGAAGGGGCCACATGATGCGGTCGGCGACATCTGGGCGCCATCCCGAAGCGTGTTGTACTAACGTGGTGATTTTTTCGATTGTTTTGTAAAGCCCTCGCTTTCTCGTATTGCAAATAGAAGCTGGAGCTATGAGAAGTGCCCCTAAAATAGAGTACTATTTTGTGGAGGGTTTTTAGCAAAATCCACCAAAATACGAATTGTGGGCTCTATCTATGTTTTGTGTTTTCATTTGAGTGATGCTGTTAGCCACAAAGCGTTCATGGATCCTACGGGCCCACTGGGAAAGTTCCCGGTAACCCGCCGGCCCCATCCACCCCTGAATGGAGCATTCGCACCACATACGGCAATCATTCATTTATGTTGGGCCTGTGTCATCCGTAATAAAAAATTTTATAATGCTTCTGTGTTTTAGATCATCCACTTCTCAAAATTTAAAACGTTAGCAAAATGCAAAACTTCAAAAATCTTGCAATTTATACACCACCCGCTACCTACTTAGGAGGACACTTAGGTATATACTGAATATTATATGCTAAAGCTGTTTGACAGTTATTGCGTTTCGTAATCTTATCGCCTCGTAGGTTTCTTCCCCAGTTAGTGTAGTAGGAATGCTCTCCACCAACGCTCAGCGAATGGGGTGTCATGTCTTCCTCTAAACTAAACGGTTATTGTCAAAGATAATTATAGGCATGACTCAAATTGTACCATTATTTGGTTATTCTGTCGAACTTGCCACCTTGAGTGCTTTATTACTCCCACATGAACTTTAATTTAATATCTAAGCGCCTTATTATTTCAATAAAATATTATTATTGT